AGTATTTAATTTCACAACATGTGACATCGAAATGCCCAGATTGAACCTACGTGGACGTTCAATCACGTCAGGCGATTCACCTAAAGAATGCAGATATCTTGAGTTGATCAAGATATCAAGAAAAGGGCCTATTAGGAAAGAAAATACCTCCTTTCATCCAATAGACAGTTACTGCTTTAAATAAAAAGGCTGTAATTTCTTCATCCTTTTGTCGCTTGTACTCAAAAGTTTACTCTGGTTGACCTTTGGCCACTTTATCAGTTAAGTTCTCTTTGGGACATGAAAATGTGATTTTGATAATTCCAATCATCGCATTTCATATTTACTCGCTGCAATATGACCATGAAACGGAACTAATTCCATTTCAGGAGCATAGCGGGAGGTCTCCCTACTGCAAAACGCTCTAATGAAGAATGAATACAAGAAAGTTAAAGGCAACTAGCTAATAAGGATAGTTTTTTATTCAAAGAGGGCAATAAGAATGGTAGGCCATTTATAGCCAACTTGAAATGTAGTGTGAATTAAGCACACCTGAAAGTCACTACTCGATCTTTTGGCAGCTAAGTCAATTTTAACGGATTCACTTCCTCCGTTAAATCGAGCAAATGGAAATGATACTTCCGGTATCAGATTTCCTAAAACAGCCAAAAGAATTTCATCTTGCAACTTGTCTAACCTTCTTCAACAGGCTTGAATTCGCCCTTTGGAACAAAATTTGCAATGCAATAGCGTGTGGTTCCTGCTACTTGCAGTTGGCTGTACTTTGTAACGTCATCAATTGTAATTTCAGCATATTCTATTAAAAAGCTGGCGATTAGCGGTCTCGAGTGCACAATTCGAGTTGTTAACTTGATTTTTACAACAGGGTTTCCCAGCCGGTGTATTGTCCACATAACACATATCATTGTCTATTTTGATGGTTTGGGCAGGTCCATCCACCGTTAGGGAGATAACCTGAAGGTGTCAAAAAATGAAAATTCTGTTTGATCAAATCAATACTTACATCGAGTTGGCTCACAGCAAATACCATGGTTTCCGTTTTCCCATTTTGTGTTGCAACAACTCTTGAACAAATCGAGTCTGGCAAATTGGAACCCTCTATTCTAGCAGGGGCATTTATTTGCATCAAAACCAACATTTGCTACGCTTTTATATGCCTCCCTCGTGCCACAAATAGTTGCCTACGTCAAATTATCCTAATTGATGCAAGACAGATTTTGTCATCAAAGCCATTCCACGAAAACAACTCAAGTAGCAAATTTGAGATGTGCTCAATAAAGTGAATAAAATAAATGGCGTGAATTCAGGGCAATTCAAGTACACTACAAATTGACGGGGAACAATTCCATTTCTCTTGCTAGAACCATTAAGATTAAGAGAAAAGTATTGTCATCTATTGACAAATCATTTGAAATAGTCTCGCTTAGTATTAAAGAAAGCAATTTGCCTATTCACGCGTGGAATACCGAGTTAGACCGCTTATCCGTTTGATGTGTTACCATGGCTAGGACCCACTCAGTTGTGTTGTAAAATGAGCCTTCGTGTATTGGAGGCATTTTATTGTTTAAACAGTAGACGGACATTGATTTGTGGTCTGATTTGAAGAAACTGCACTCAGGTACCGCACAATAATTTATTTAAGTGCATTCATCTCCATTTAATACATATTTCTAGAAGATTCTAGATTTAGTATAAATTTTATTAGTGTGGACAGGTAGGTTTCTAGGTGGAATTAGAGCTCAAAAATTAAAAAGTTTACATATTTACGAAACTCAAGAATATTGGCTATTTATGGAAAATATTAATGAGATACTACGATATTGAGTTGCTTCAGCATATTAACAGTCGATTTGGCAAATCCAAGTGTTTGAGTGCTTTCCTTAGCGAGTGCTCTTTCTGTTGTTGTGCAGATAAATTCACGTATTCCTACCTGCAACATATTCATAAAAGCATCATAAATTATTCATGAGACATTATTTGATCAGTAAGAAGTGTTTGAAATGCAAAATATACACGTGATATTGCAACCATTGCAGCCAGACCTCCAATAAGCAGTGTATATAGGAAATACCGTGGGATCAATTTTTCCATTCAATTGTGCAAATCTGGTTTTATCCTTCAGTCTCCAAATCGAAATCCACCTAGACAGAATGTTCGAGAGAGCCTGTGATTAATTGGTTGAAACGTGCTCAAACTGCCGACATCAAACAAATTGTGAACAGTCCACAAGTAAATTTTTGCTCGTGTTGAACTCGATTTCAACTATCAGTATAAGACAAGACATGTTTCATTAATAGAATTAACCTTCATAAAGAGTATTATCTAAAGCAAAGTGAAAATAAAAAGGAGAAATCATGCTGCAATATATTGAACCGAATCATATCCTCTCCCATGCAAAACCCAAGTTTCATGCAACTTCTGGATGCCAAATTCGTTTAATAAAATACAATTATATTGTGTTCCATTTTCTTTAAAAACTACCACACATCAATTTGAGTACCAGAAAATTTATGTCAAGCACGTGCCAACTGTAGGGTATTAGATACAATTTTATTGGCTATGAAAGGGTATATGTGCTATTCCATTGCTTTAAATACTTACCAAAGTCTGTCACTTTTGCATTCTCATCGCAACCCACCACAGCTTTTCGCAAAAATTGTATTATCGATGCAATTCACAACTGAGATCCGAAATTTCGACGAAAACTTCCTACCTAACTTTGCAAATAGGTTCAATCTATTGCGACAAGAAATGGGCCTTATTGATTTGAATATACAAGTGAGTACATATTTTTGTTGAAGGGACAATTTTTCTCATTCCAGACCAAAGGCGGCACTTCTATTCCTGCCCACAAACTTGTCCTTTGTGTACAATTCCCAGGTATAAAGAAGAGTATCTTACAGAGCAAACATTCAAACCTCTCAAATTGGAGTCGTTTTCCATACGAGTAGGTCATTTATCCTGATTCCATTACCAACTCGTTAGTATTGTTATGGCAGCCGTTGATTTCGCCTACACTGGTGAAATAATCATAAACGTTGAAAACGTATTGGGGATATATCTGATGGCCCACAATCTTGGCTGCAAACAGCTGATTGACTGGACAACGGAGTTCATCATAACAAGGTTCGTTTATTGCAACCAACGTAAACGTAATGCGTGTGCGTGTTTGAAAGTGTTAGTTTTAGTGAAGTGAAGTTCAAAAGAAAAGCAACAGATGAGTAATAGAATAAGAGTTTGTGGCAAAGGATGAAAATACGTACCACCAATATCTTATGCGCGAGCGGCCATTGTCTTGTAGACTTGATCGACTTGATTTGATGGAGGTTTGGTCGGCAGCAAATGTCACTTCAAACACTAATCTCATTGACGTGTGCATACCAAGGGTAGCAGGTGATTTTGAGAGATTAACCTCGAGCCAGCCCTTCCTTCAACACGTAGGTGTTGACCAGCTTCAAATCTTACTGCAAAGTCCCTGGATATGCGATGGAAAAGAAACATTGAAATTCAAGGCAATCTGCACATGGTTGCATGCGTCCTCCTTAAATGACGAACACGTTAAAATCGAAAAGCATTTCCGTCCTCTTCTCAAGTTGATCGACATGAAGAAATTGCCAACAAAGGTTATAATTGAAACGTCAGTTAGTGGATCGGATTTCAATTTGTCGGAAAGTGCAAGGTAAAATTTCATTCCCATTATCGAATATTTGGTTCTTTAGAACAACATTTATGGACACATTTATGAATTTGAATGAAACGAAAAAGGAAAGGTACTCTCATATTTTTCTATAACACTTGATTTGAAATGCATAATGCACTGTTTTGTCGTCGCAGCTTGAAATCGATGATCTGTTTTCATGGGTGTAAAGGCACTCCAAGTAGTGGAGTTTTGGAGGCGATTTCTGAACTAAGTGGAGGAAAGGTTTCTTTCCCATTCAAATTTCGAGACTGGAGCTGCACAGTTGCTTTGGATGGTTGGATCTAACTTCGATTGCTTACTCTCAATTACTCTTTTTTGCTCCTTGTAGGTAGTGTTTATACTCTGGGTGGCGGTGACAAGTCTGGTATGACCACATCAAGAGTGGATAGAATCAATCCACAGAATGGTGAAGTGATTGCACTCCAACCAATGATAGAGGAGAGACGGTGGCATTCTGCAGTGGCTCGAGATCATGCAGTTCTTGTTTTTGGAGGTTATAGTAGTCAAAGTGACAAACGATTAGACTCTTGTGAGGAATTCTTACCTGCAACAAACACGCAAGTATTTTATATGCAGATTACACGCATTTTAAAACATTTTGTCTGGTGTGATGTTCCGACCTACCTTGATTGCAAATACATTTTCTGAATCAATAAGAGTTTGTCCGATTTTGTGCGGATAATGAATAACACTCACCTGATTGCTCTTGACAATGCACTAATATCTGATGAGACTTTTCACTCATCTTTTGTTACATCTTGAGAGTTCTGAAAGTACTCACTCATTGGTACATCGTCGTTAGTTGTAAGACATTAATGACGGTTTGACATAGCTCAGGTATAGCTAAAATGAATGCGTTTAATCTATTTATTATACAGTGGCTTTTGATGTAAATTTCATCTTATAACTGAAAACTAAAGATATTTCAAATATAGGATTGCCAGTCGTTTGTTTATTCAGATTGACAAGGTTTTAGAAGTTACATCCATCAACATGTACATATACAGATGATTAACATGTTCTGATATCAAGTTCATATGCATTTCGAGATATTCGTGAATAAATTTTCTGCATTTATGTGAGTTTGTCTGTTTTTGGTTGGAAAATGTCTTGCATTCATTTCATGGCTATTGGTAATGCAATATGATGTGACTTAACGTTCTTGGAGAGTTCTGAAAAAATATTGCATAATTTATACATCGTCATAAATAGTTGGATATTTGTATCCATAGAACACTGCTTGGCAACTGTTGGCTCAATCACTTATTAAAGTATTCAAGTTGCATGCCTATGTTGCAAAATGTCTTCTCATATCTGTGAATTGAAGACCTTTCAAATACCGAAACAGCATAGGCTGGCATGTGAAAATAAGGAAGATGTTGGTATTATTGTGCCCCAGCATGTGTGCATGTGGATATTAGACCCCGCCTGATTTCAAGCTCCAACTTGTAGGTCGAAGGTAACGAAACAGCAAGTATCACTTGAGAATTTAGTATTTTTAAAATTTAGGTGGAGGAAACTGCCCCCAATGCCAACACCTAGGTCTTCCACGGGAGCAGCACATATACCCGGTGTTGGTGATTTAGTTGTTGGTGGGTGGACAGTGACTGGGCCGTGTCTCAACAAAGCGGAAATCTTTTTGACAACTTCATCGCCTCTTGGACATGCAGGCAGTTGGTGTGAAATCACTCCCATGCTTCTTTCGAGGTCTCGTCCAACAGCAGAATTTTTCAATGGAAGAGTTTACGTCGCTGGTGATTCGTGTAATTTAACTTCTTCTGTTGAGATGTTGTCCTTATTTACTGAAGAACCTCCCCAGTGGACCGAAGTGATTAAACCCACTTTTAAGCTACTCTCGTTGATCTCTTTTAATGGGAGCCTTTTGTTTCTATGTGAGTCATGTTTACTTTTATTCCATATTTTTGAAGAGAAGTAGAAATATTTTCTTGGGTTAGAAATTGCGAGTTGTCCACAACATGATTATCTTTTCTCAAACAGGGGATTGATTAATTTGAAAATATGAGGTCATAAATACAGTTTTTTTCAAATTCTGGAATGCGTTTAGAAATGTCTTGGAAACTGGAATAAAAGCAGTGCTGTTTGCATATGATTTCTAATTTAGTAACTCAATGCAACTTAATATTCATAATTTAAATATCGTGTGTCATACTTGATTTCACATACATTACAAAGCGGAAATCAATTTTTCATAAGGAGTCCATTCAAATACCATCGAATATCTAAATCAAAATTTATCTGTGTCTACACTTTACGACAAATAAATGTTTACCTTGATTTTACTGCGGTTTTTATTGAAGGCACTCCAGACCCCTGGTACTTTTCGTTTTGACAACTTTTGTTAAATAGAAAGAAAGATTAGTAGAATTAATACCAGAGAAGGTCCACTCGCATCCCTCACCGTCTTTGTTGGATGATTTCAAACATCTAGACATAAGCTTATTAATGTTCAAAAAGTCCCAGAGTTAACACTTTTTGAAAAGATCGAATCGTAGCTTAATAGACATTCTCGCAGAAAGTCAAGGCTCGTTTAAACAAATGAGATTAACTTGTGTGGAGATGGAAGACAGCGAAAATCATTCACTATGTAGTTAGACATTGAGATCGATGATGATACAGACGCCACTCTTACATACATAATTGACAGCGAGTTCATGCCAGTATTGATTTGAGCAAATTGTTCAATCAGATAAATTGAGTGGGCTTTCTATTTCCCTCATCTGAAAATTGAATTTTGCAAGCAAGTTGTAGATAAACAGCAATCACCAGACACCACTCAAGGTTAAGTAAAATTAAGTAATATTCAAATCTGTTCATAATTTATCCTCATTGTAGCTGACGAAGGAAGAATATATGAGTTGCTATTCAACCAAGACAATGAGGTAAGTTTTATGAAATTGAAAGTCTATGAAAGTACAGGTTACCAATCAATCCCTATTTATTGCTAATTCAGACCTCCTTAGGAAAAAAGTATTCTTGGATGTTGATTTCTGAATTGGACAAAATATATGACCGTCGACTCTTGAAGATAACTGATCTCCCGTGATTCATTTTATCTCCTCCGATAAACAGTTTTCACTGTCTCTTTCCTCTTGCAAACAAACTGAGATTAAATAATGACTGTGTTAGGTTAAAAATATCTTTCTACATTGTAAATAAATAAATAAATTTATTTATTTCAAATGGCAGACGTTTTGACAGTTATCACTAGCCCTTTAGTTGACTTCGGATTTCACGGGGAGAATGGAGGAGGAACAGAAGGGCGATTCACAGATGTAAAAGAGACAGACAAAAAGGCAGAGAAAAGGTAAGATGAGTACTTTGGAAGGAATCGAATATGGCATGCAGTATTGTGAATAAATTAAACAATAATATTTGAAGATTAAAACCATAATTCCACTCCTACCGATGTAAAGTTTTGTTTTTGTGATGGAGAAATTATAAAGGAAGAAAAAATATGCAAAATGAACAATCAATTATTTTTTATTATTTAAATCGAAAAAAATAAATAAGATTTGAAACCAGAG